TCTGGAAACCACTGTCTTAACCATTAAGACTATTTGAAGAAGTAATAAACATGTTGATTAAATGATCAAAGCAGAGTTTGAAAGCAGTGTCTTTGATGGTTTCCAGGATGGACATAAGACTTCCCTGTGGAAAATTTGTCCTGAGGCAATTACATGGGCTGCCTTAAGCTATAAAATCAAGTCCTGCTCCCTCCAGGAAGCCTTCCCTTACTGCGGTACAGGAAAAAAAAACAAAAAAAAAAACCCGATACCATCCAGTTGATTCTGACTTATAGCGACCCTACAGGACAGAGTAGAACTGCCTCATAGAGTTTCCAAGGAGCTGCTGGTAGATTTGAACTGCTGACCTTCTGCTAAGCAGCCGAACTCCTAACTGCTGTGCCACCAGGGCTCCACTGAGGTGCAGAGGTTTTTGTATTTAATATAACTCTTATTCAAATCAAGGACTCGTTTCACAACACTCCAGCCTCTGCTAACATATCTCCTCTACTGGGGAACTCACTACCTGAGAACAAAAAAGGCATCTACTTAAAGGAATATAAACAGACAATGAGCAGAAGAGATGCAAATAGTCAGAACAATCTATAAAGAGTTATTTGACCTCAATAATCATTAAAGAAATGCAATACAGCAAGGAGATATTTTTAATTTCTCAGTGTAACAGAAACAAAAATTGATATGGGCTTTCCGGAGGACAGTTTAGCAACAGGTATCAAAATTTAAAATGTACATTCCTTTTGACTTCTAGCAATTTATCCTAAGGAGAGAATAGCACAAATATGTTTTTACAGTCTTGATTATATGCACAAACTCCAGAAATAATCTAAATGCCCATCAATCAAGAACTGGTTAAATAAACTATGATACATTTTTACAAACAAATATCATGTAGCTGTTAAAAGTGATGCAACAAGGGTATCATTGGCTGTCTTCAGGGAGAGGATTGGGTTGCTGGGTACAGGGCTTGGAGGAGGAGCAGGAGAAGCATTCATTGTACACCTCTTGGTAATTTTTTGTGTTTTTTTAATTTTTGTGAATGTATTTCATATTCAAAATAATGGTAAAATTGAAAAGATTTGTAAAAGATGTTGTAGATCTCTACTGTTTGTTATGGAGAGAGATCCACAACAATGTTGAACAGGAAAAAAGTTACCAAGTAGCATAGAGAACATAATTTCATTTATATAAAATTGAATGTTATATAGATAAAGTTATGTGTATAGATAGAGGTATCGGAAGTTATTTCTAGAATGACGCTCTCCAATTTGATAATAGTGGTGTCTCTAGAAAAAAGAATTTGGGGATGATTTTTATTTTTTCCCACTAACTTTTCTATATTGTGTGAATTGTTTATAATGAGCATAGATTTTTTTTTAAAACCACCAAAGAAAAATATTATAAAGTTACTTTCTGTTAAAAAAAAA